GTGTCTCACTGTATTCATTTTGTACTTGCCTTTCCAGTTTCTTGCTGTAATAAATAGGCTTTTGTGAACCTTATTATGTACTCTCAGTATGTATGTGCAAGGAATACTGTAGGGGACATTTCTCAAACTCTTGGTCCCTAGGTTCACTTCCCATTTTTGAGAGAGGGCTTTGCTGTGCTGTCCAAGCTGGCATGGAACGCTCCAGCTGCACTGATCTATCTGCCTGTCTCTGGCTAGCAGGGAAATGTTGTGTACCACCATGCCTGGTTCCCGTTTTAAGAAGATTCATATTTATTTGTGTGAGTATGTGTGTCTGTGTGTGTGCCACATGAGTGAAGGTGCTCATGGAGGCTGGAGGTATTGGATCTTCTAGAACCAGAATTACAGGCAGCTGTGAGCTGTCCAAGAGAATTGAATGGGGAGCTGGGAACTGAACTCAGATCCCCTGAAAGAGCAGCAAGCACTCATAACTGCTGAGCCATCTCTCCAGGCTCCTGGTTTACACTTGTTTTTTTGTAAATATTTTTTTTCCTTTTTTTAGTTTTTTTGAGATAGAGTTTCTCTGTGTAACAACTATAGCTCTCCCTGAACTCACTCAGTCTGTAGACGAGTTTGAGGCTGGCCTCTGACTCAGAGATCCGCCTGCCTCTACCACAGCTAAATTATTGATCTCCCCTTGAAAACCTGTTCCTCCTTCTGTTATTTCAAATACATAATAATAATAATAATAATAATAAAACCAGCTGAGTATGGTGGCACATGGGTTTAATCCTAGCACAAGGGAGGCAGAGGCAAGGTGGATCTATTTGAGTTCAATTCCAGCCTGGTCTACAGAGTGAATTCTAGGCCAGCCAGGGCTACAGAGTAAGACCCTGTGTCAACAAAACAAGGTAATAAATGAAGGTAAATAGTAAAAATTATTTTTTCAATAAAAACTATGATATACTATATTTTCTTTGGGCTTTTGTTTGTTTCTTAGTACTGAGGATTGAACTCAGGGCCTTGTACATCCTAGGCAGCCACTACTGTCTATTTTTACTTTTTTTATTTTGAGACAAGATTTCACTAAATGGTACAAGCTGGCCTTGAACTGAACATAACCCAGGCAGGCCTTGAACGTGTGATCCTTCTACCTCAGCTTCCCCAGAAGTCGAGGTTACAGGCCTGTGCCATCATGCCTAGCTCCACTATATTCTCTACTCATTTCTCAAATTGGCTTTCGTGTTTCCCCAAGTTTGATCCACAACTGAAATGACTACTTCATGGGCCAGGGAGATGGCTCAGTTGGTAAAGGTACACACTTTACACAAGCCTGATGGACGAACTCAGTTTGATCCCTAGAACTCACATGAAGGTAGAAGGAGACCAGCTCTTACAAGTTGTCCTCTGACCTCCATATATGTACTAGAGAGTACGCCCCCCCCACAGCAATAATAATAGTACTACTATTAAAAATTAATTACGGGCTGAGGAGATGGCTCAGTGGTTAAGGGCACTGGCTGCTCTTGTATAGGACCCAGGTTCAGTTCCCAGCAAGCACATGGCAGCTCACAACTGTCTGTAACTCCATTTCTAGGGAATCCGACATTCTCATCAGACATACATGCAGGCAAAACACCAATGCACATGAAATAAAAATAATTAAGAAATAGTTTTTAAAATTAATTAAAAATGCTGGGTGGTGGTGGTGGTGGTGGTGGCGGCAGCGGCGGCGGCGGCGGCTGCAGATGCCTCTCACACCTTTAATCCCAGCACTTGGGAGGCAGAGGCAGGTGGATCTCTGTGAGTTCGAGGCCAGCCTGGGCTACAGATGCAGGACAGGCTCCAAAACTACACAAAGAAACCCTGTCTCAAAAAAACAATAATAATTAAAAATAAAATTACTACCTTAATACATTTGCATTGTTTTTAGAATGGAATTCATTGTCCTTAGCATGGTCTAAAAAGCCCTACATAATTCACTTCTGTCTACTTTGACCTCATGTCCCAATATTCTTCCTTTGACTCACTACACTGTAGCCTTCCCATGGCTCCTAACTAAAGTTGTCCACCCAATGGATAGCAAACTGAAGATATTCAAATCCCTTATATTAAAATGGCAAAGTCTGTGGAACATAGCATGGATCCATCCTCAAAAAGCAAAACTGTCATAGCATTTGTAACTAAACTGTACATATCATCCTATATGCTTTTTTTTTCCAGCACTGAAGTTTTTATTCATGTGAATCATTAAAAATGGGCATCTAGACCAGTGTCAAACGAGGGTGGGAGAGGAAGGCAGGGTAGACAAGAAGGAATTTCCATCTATTGGTAATAAAGCTCCAGGTTCATCCCATCATGGATTTCATAATCTCCCAGAGACACGTGGTCCTTAAAAATCGTGTACCATGCCGGGCGGTGGTGGCGCACGCCTTTAATCCCAGCACTCGGGAGGCAGAGCCAGGTGGATCGCTGTGAGTTCGAGGCCAGCCTGGGCTACCAAGTGAGCTCCAGGAAAGGCGCAAAACTACGCAGAGAAACCCTGTCTCGAAAAAACCAAAAAAAAAAAAAAAAATAAAAATCGTGTACCACTTTTTAAGATCGATCTTATTCCAACGGGTGCCAGTTTAGGCTGCTATCAGTTTCTTCAAGTCCCCGAAGGTGTCATCGGTGTTGCACTTGACGCAGACTTTCCTTCCTAGCCGGTCGTTGCAAACCTCCTCAATCATTGCGGCTGGAGCTCTAATCCCCTGGAACTTATCGACGACACAACTTTCTCTCTCTCTCTCTCTCTCTCTCTCTCTCTCTCTCTCTCTCTCTTTGGCTTTTTGAGACAGGATTTCTCTGTGTAGTTTTGGAGCCTGTCCTAGAACTCACTCTGTAGCCCAGGCTGGCCTAGAACAGAGATCTGCCTGGCTTTGTCGCCCAGGTGCTGGAATCAAAGGCGTGTGCCACCACTGCCTGGTGGTGCTTCTTCTTCTTCTTTTTTTTTGATACAGGTTTTCTCTATGTAGCTCCGGCTGTCCTGGAACTTGCTCTGTAGACCAGGCTGGACTTAAACTCAGAGATCTGCTTGCCTCTGACTCCCAAGGACTAGGATTATAGTCATGTGCCACCACACCGAGCCTTTTTCCAAGTCTTTTTGACTTGAGGTTGGTTGAATCGGTGAATGCCAGTTCTCCAAAGGGTCTTTCTACTTACTGAACCCTTCCCCTGGGACATTTTCACCTCCTTTCTTCATTGGCTGATTTCCATTCTTTTAGTCTTAACTTCAGTTTCAAGCTTTACCACACCCCTAAAGCTAAACACCAGCAATCCCCATATTCTTTTCCTAGCTCTCTGTTCTGTTCATTCATAGCTTTTGCAGTTTGCAATTGTCCGTGTTTATGTGTTGTGATCTTGTGTTCATTTATGTCCTATCATCTCCAGTACTGGACTGTTCTTTGTGAGGGTGGGGTTTGTCCAACACTGTCTGGTTTGTGATTCGCACTGCTGCATAGCTCGAGCCTCACATGGAGCCCAGACTACATGCTCAGGAGACACTCATGGAGTCAGCTGAAACGCAGATAAATGAAGTGGAATTAGGGAAAGGTGAAGAGAGCTCCGTGCGAAAGGAACATAACGTGCAAAAGCTCAGCTATGATCTAACACTCAGGAGCCTGGAGCAAGAAGATTGATGCAAGCTCCAGGTCAGCCTGGACTGCAGGGTGAGGCTGTCTCCACAAACCAGACCAGCAAAACCTAGCAACCCAGATCCTTCAGAGGCTATGTGCACGTATGAAATCGGCAGAGAATATTGTTAAAAGGAGAAACAAAACAAAACAGAACCCCAAACCTCCCGAGGCTCAGTAGGCTAAGCAACAGTCTTAGAATTGTTTCAACTTTGACTCAAGCACCGGGTTTAGAAAGGCTGGTGGAAAGCCAGCTCACAAAGAGCTCCGCTGAACCTCCCATGTTCAGGAGACTTAATGTTCTTTTGAACCCATGGGGACTTGAAAGATTCCAAACATGTGAATGATGTGATTTCATTTCAAAAGATAGAGACTGGCCAGGTGTGGTGGCACAGGCCTTTAATCTCAGCATTCAGGCCGCAGAAGGATCACAAGTTCAAGGCTTGCCTGGGATACATAGTGAGACCTTGTCTCAAAAAGGGGGTGAGGGCTGGAGAGATGGCTGCTCTTCCAGAGATCCTAAGTTCAATTCCCAGCAACCACATGGTGGCTCACAACCATCCGTAATGAGATCTGGTGTCCTCTTCTGGCCTGCAGGCATACATGCAAATAGAGCAGTCATGTACATAAAATACATGAATAAATAAATCTTTTAAAAAATATATTTTATTTTATTTTTATGTGCATTTGTGTTTTTGCCATGCATGTCAGGGTCCCCTGAAACTGGAGTTACAGACAGGTGTGAACTGCCATGTGGGTGCTGGGAATTGAACTCACATCCTCTGGAAGAAGAGTCAGCGCTCTTAACCCCTGAGCCACCTCTCCAGCCCAAATAAATAAATCTTAAAAAAAAAAATACAGACTGCTGTCTTTCTGTGTTTCCTCTCTGCACTCTCTTCCTGTGTTTCCTCTCTCTGTTCCTTCTCTGCTCCCTCCCCCAGGCCTGGCTGTCTCTCTCCCCTCTTTCCCTTTCAATAAATTCTCTGCATATAGTATAGAGAATAGATTCCAGGGTCCACTTGCTTTACAAGTGAGTGCATTTTGCCTAGCTTGCATGAGAGCCTGAGTTTGATGTCCAGAGGTGAAAAATAATTAAGAATAGATTCCAGGGAACAAGAGTGAAGCAGGGAAACTGTGAGGGTAATGCACATTAGAAATTGTGCTGGCCTAAACCCGGGCAGTGGCAATGGAAATCAAGAGACTATATAAATAGACTTTGGAGATATTCCTGTAAATGACAGGACTTGGTAATTGCATGGGGGTGTGTGGAAGAGAGAGAGAGAGAGAGAGAGAGAGAGAGAGAGAGAGAGAGAGAGAGAGAGAGAAGAGCCAGGGTATAGTTAGGGTTTCTACTTTGTCTGGATGTGAAGTATTTCAGAGTCATCAGCAAAGAACTGATAACCTAAACCAGGGGAGCAAATGAGATATTAAGGGAAAAGACCAGAGAGCCCAAGAGACAAGGAAGAACCTGAAAAGGAAGAAAGGAGAAAAATAAACATCGTGTTATGTCATAGGGAAGTAATTTCAGGGGGAGGGAGTGGTCACTACCCAAATGCTACCCCAAAGCCAAGTAGGATGACCTCTGAAAAGAGTCTTTTGGATTTCCTGACATAAGCTATGGCAGACGTTTGGGGGAAGGAGTCAAGGTGAATTGGAGCAAGGTTAAAGGTAAGTGGGAGGTAGGAAATGAGGCACTTGAGTGTGAGCAAGTCTTGAGTCATATGTAGAAAGAACATTTTTGATGATTGTTTTTTTAGATGAAAGATACCTGAGTGTATTTAAAGTCGTTGAGAAGGAACTCGGGACAAATCCAGAGGTTCGGCGTTAAGAATTCAAGACCTCTTCTCTCGTGTCTCCTGTTTATTCCATGTAGTAAAGAGGTAAGGCACAAGTGACTTGCTTCTCTCTCCACAGGACTTGCCTATAATTGGCTCAAAAAGGGCTAAGTACTGGGGGACAAATCAAGATGTTGGGGAGACTAGACTTGAAATGGCCACTGTGGGTGAGAGTTAACTAGGAAATGGTGGGGAAATGGAAGAGGAGAAAGTTGACTACTAATAGAGCGACAGGTCAGTTCGGAGGGACTTGTGGAAGCTGGAAACTGAGGGTTTATCATGACACAAAACTGGAAAATTGTAGTATTATCCAGTAGTGTTCAGCTGCCTGGGCACAAGTATTGGGGGGGGGGGAGGCAAACAGTTGGACCGATTCAGGATTGGGTTGCTTCCAGTCGAATAACGGACAAAACAAGGAACTGAGGCTAAAAGACTGGGAAAGTAAAGGACGGTGAGATCTGGCCTGAGGAAAAGCAGAGTAGCAAAGGATCACTATGAGCCAAGCCTAGCTTAACTCTGAAATACGTGGAAAGGCTTCTGGGAAAGAGAGTGATGGGAGAGCGGAAGAAGACATGAGATGCGACGGAAGGGTAGATTTTGGAAATTGAGCCGGGAGATTTGCTTCTGTGGGACCAGGGAAGGATGGGAAGGAAAGCCGAAGGGAAGTTCAGGGCCAGCAGAAGGAGGGCCTTAAGCTCCTGCTAGAGGTGAAACTGGCCCTAGCGAGGGGGCGTGGCCAAGCTCAAATCCCGACGAGGGGGCGGGACTCTAGTAACTGGGTCCCAGCGCCGCGGTGGCTGCGGCTGTCTCAGCAACGGCTCGCGCCTCCCCATCCCCCCGGTTCCCAGGGCTCTTCCCGCCCGCCGCGGTGGAGACCCAGGCCGAAGGCGGGGAAGCCCGGTCTGGCCCGTTCCTCTGCCCGCACGGCCGGAGCATCGTCCTGGAGGACTGCCCGAAGGCAAGCCTCATAGTCGGAGAGCGCGGCGCACACGCGCGCCTCCCGGCCACGGCCGTCCTCTCTTCCCTCCTTCCTCTCCTCTCTCCCCTCCCCTCTCCTCCGCCCCCAGCCTCCGCTGCGGCGGGAGGAAGAACCCTTCCCGACCAGCCCAGAGAACCCAGGTCGATTCTCATTCCGGGCGAAAGGAGAGACCCCCGCACTGGGATCCAGCTGGCCGCTCGCCCCCGGCCACGGAAGTGACTGGCCGTCCATCAGGAGAGCGCGCGCCTAGCGCAGCCCCCGACCCTCGCCCAGCCGCTGCCGCATAGACAGCGCTCCC